TCAAATGTGTCTCACATTCAGAAGTCTTGGATTCCGAGAATCTGTAACAGATCAATTTTTCTCAGTCTACTTTTGAATATGCTTACACTCGAAGCCTGCTGTACCTCTAGTGCCTGGAGCCACCTCGCTCCACAAAAGAAGAGCGAATGGGAAACTTTGACGTACTGTTTTCTAGCGAGCTTCGGACATTGTAGAGAGAGCGAGGAGTCGCGCCCTCGACAAGGTCTGAAGACCCAATAATTACTCGGTTTGAGCTTCAACTCTCCTTTAAGTAATTTGAAAGCAGAAACTGGACATGCTACCTGTTTTCAGTGTTGTGGCCATGGAAACTTTCGGGTTTCGGTTTAACGACATAGCGACCAACCGTCATGTTCTGACGCAAAAAGCCAAACTCAAAAAAAAACACGATCCTTTGGAGAACCCAATAGCGGAATGTTCGGGAGAGGTCGCGACTGAGTACAGGTTATCATCGGTTATTTTTTTTCTTCAAGGTGAATATATAATTTGGAGGCTACTTTAGCTAATTTTTCTTTACTGAAACTCCTATTTCGCAAGACTGAAATCCATCCTAATCACAACTAACGTACAAGTGGAGCATATGGTGCTGTAGAACGCAATGATCGCTTTTAATTGTATATGACATAAAAATAACGAGAAAATAAAGTATAAACATAGATTCCCTGAGAAAATTTCTTCATTCAAATGAAGAGCAAAATCACTTATTGGACAGCCTTATGTATGGAGAGGAAGAAAGGGAAAGAACCGGCCTCAGGAGCATCGATTCGTTAGACTATAATGACTTGAACCTCTACCAGCTCCATGAGTTCGAGACGATGTCAACTTCTATAAAAGACCACTAAATTTTGTAAATTTACTTCGGTCAAATAAGTGTTGAGACTGATCCGAATCTCGGCCGAACCAAGTAATTTATACTATTCTGATATCTAACGAAAGCACTATTTTTTCATTCCACTGTTACGTCATATCTGAGTTTTTAGGCTGATTTGAAACCATGCACACCATTTCCTCGTCTCAGTTATTGTGATGCCATGCGACTTTATGGTAGCGACAAGCCAGATATGAGAATCCCTTGGCAAATAGAGGACTGCTCGGAACAACTTGGTTCGAGGTTTATTGCATATGCATATGCTCAGATTTCCTGATACATGCCTAATTTTTATCCAACTTCCGGCCTGCGCTTTTCAATTTGTCGTTCTCTATAGATATTCTTTGATCTGCCTCTGATTACGAAAACTTAAAGGTACTTGTCGCCATTTGGTCCTAACCATAAAAACGACTCTCCGTGAGTGAGGTGCGGGTCTCTAAGCGCAAATGTGTTGAGCGCGATCTTCGGCTGCGAAGAGTGGGCGACAAGGCGCTGATGATATTCCTGATCGTGCGACCGCTCCATTTTCTCTCGTGCAGTATGCAAGTGTCTGCGGCGTCTCGTAGCGATCATGCTCTTTTTCTCTTTCCCTCCGGCGCTGTGCCTCTTGTACGCAGCGGCTGACGCAACACTTTGAAAATGAAGTGCTCAGCTTCCCGGAGTCCTGAACCCAGGCCTACTTTACAAAAGTGGGGCGTTTTTTTTTTTTCTCATAACGATCGCCTTTCGGCCGCTCTTCATTCATTCTCATAGGGAGATCACATCAAAGTGATCGTGACCAGGGCTTTCCACTTGGATAGTTTATAATTTTTTTGGTTTTCTGTTACTTAGAGGAGGTCTCACTAACCATAGCTTTCATTTCATTACGGTTACGAAAGCGGACATGAACAGCATAGGTCTACGATTTGTTATCTAATCATTTCTAACACAAACGATTCTTATCAGCAAACCAGAGTTTCGTTGGCGTACTTCAAATTCAGTGAATTCCAGTCCCTTTTAGATTTCATGCGAGGAGAAAACGTCAACAATGGCTGGGTAGCGCGATTGATTGTTTGCAAGGGACAAGCGAACAAAGTGAGAACGGCTGTAAAGAAGGAGTTCAAGCGGATTCTGGATATGAATGAAAACTCTCGTGTGAGCTATTTTTATACTTCTCTTCAATCATGTTACCTAGCGCGAAGTGCGATGTACGACCTATGTATTTACTACTGAGTTCAAGTATTTCTGTAGAAGGACCGCCTCATGTATTTATTGGACATTATCTGGGCTGAACATTCTCCCTTACTTCGAATGAGTTTCAAATATGCAGCTGTCGGTGCTATGTAGTCCACAGCTGAAAAAAGCAAGAAATCATGGGGAAAACCTAGAGTACAGCCTTACTCTGCAGGGCGAGCTTGATACAAGCTTTTGCTGAAGGAAATAGGTTGTACTATGAATGAAAACCGAAGACCGAGGGAAAAAGGGAGAAAGGCTCAGACACCCGCATTGCATAGCATGTATGCGGATGGAGCGACTGACCTGTCGAACACAATAGCCATTGCCACGCACGAATGACGATGTGTTGCCACAGCAGTTTGCATCTTAAGCAATGCGAGGGGCGCTGGCCATTTTGTTGATCAGAAGAAAGGTTTCTATTCAATATTCGCCGTATATGCCTAAATTCAAATTGACTAGTTTTGTCGCGAAATGAAAGACTAAAGGCTTGCTCTTCATTCCACCTGTATCACCTGTCGTCGTTGATCATCGAATTGCTCGAGCGGGCGCCAGCAACGTCTCCATTCGTCCCTGTCGCGTGCTAGAGTGGTCCAGTGGATCCTCCTTGCTCGAGGGACACGAAGTCCTTCATTCCTTTCGTTCAGAGCTTTCGTGAAGAAGTCTGACCATCGGGCCGGCGGTCGTCCAGGTGTTCGTTTGACGTCCCGAGGGATCCAGTCGGTAACCGCTCTGGTCCAACGGTCATCGCAAAATCGCATGACGTGTCCGGCCCACCTTATCTTCGATTCCTTGGCGAAAACGGCAGCGTCCCTGATCTTTCCTGAACTTCTTTTTCGTCCTGATTCTTCCTATACAGCCATTCGCCATATTTGATAGAAGAAAGGAATTATGGTTCAAAACAATCCCCAATTCTGTATTTGTGGAACGTTATGGTGTCGAGAACGATGATTGCGTGGATTTTCAGGTCAGTTGGAACATTTTGGAAGGCGCAGTGTGCTTTGGGGGGGGGCACTCTGTAGAGAGGCCTCAGGCCTGAGCCTGACGGAGAGTGACGAATCTCAGAGTTGATGAGAATGGTTACACACCTAAACTTGCCTCTTAACCTCTAAAGCTCAGCGCTAAAAGCGTTTCGTGTATCTGACACGATGTTACGGGCTGCCCCCTCCCCCCCCCCGGAGCCATATTGCGCCTTGAAAGCCTGCAAGTTGCGTCTTGCGAAGGCAGGATGACTTCTTGATTAGTAATGGTTTTCAGCTGGGGAGATGAGGAGGGTGTGCAATGGACTCTCGGCCAGTTACGCAATCTCATGGCCAGTGTTGCAGGTCTTCGAAAGCAGCGCAAGGTAAAGTGAAATTTCTGGTCGTGAATGATCACCGCTAAGAATACTGCCAGTAAGAATATCCGTAGAGTCTTATCAGATTTG